GTTTACGTTGCACGGCGACATTCAGGCGCCAGATGGCGCCCAAGCGTTAGCGTCCCGGACACCTACTCTGTGAAATATTTTTCCCTGTTACCGTATTTACGGCGATCTTTTTTTTATAGAAGGGTAACCATTGATCGTATGATAAACAACTAATATCAATACAAATAGTGCAATAGACAAGGAAATATATTATATCAAGAGTTAACATATTTTTCACACAGATGGTTGTAGAGTACAGATGCGCAATGGGTTACTGAACTGTCTATGTCGTCCCACGTTACGATCCAACATCCCATTTCTAGTACTAGAACCTACTATTACGAGTAGTAGGTTAAGTATCATATTATGATCAACCACCCCACCTCTTTGCTTCGATGTAAGTACTTCAGATTTACGTTCCAGTTTTTAGGAAAGCATCCTGGGTGTAAACCGGGGCATACCTGTAATTTATTCTGAAAAGGGCTACCGGTTTACGAGTTATTGTTTCACAACACTAATATGAATAGAAAAACATAGATTCTTCTTTAGACTCCTCGTGATTGTTACTGTCCAAACCCCAGGAGACAATACTACCTAGGGGCCGTCCATAAATGACGTCACGCGATTTTGGACGATTTTTGACCCCCCCCCCCCCTTGTCACACAGCGTCATAAAAAGTCAGACCCCCCCTCAAACATGACGTCACAAAGCTCTGCCCCCCCCCCCAAACCATATTTCCATTTTGAAAAGAAAACATGCTTCAAATTGCTTCAACTATTGTCATTGTAGTGCGTATTTAATGTGGCGCTACACTCTGATGTTGTAGGAGTGTTGTTATAGCAATTAGTGTTGTTATAACAATTCTATATTTATTTAAAGTTGCACATTTTGACGTGACGTCACATTTCTCAAACCCCCCCCCCTCGTCACACATCATCACAAAAATCTGACTCCCCCCCACCTCCAGGTGCGTGACATCATTTATGGACGGCCCCCGATACAAAGAGGGTGGAATTGTCGCAACCATGAACATGATGGAAGTTTTACTTGTAGTCAAAACCACCTGCAACTCAGCTATGGCTCAATATACAAGCTCCTCACATAAAATATTAAATGAGACCAAAATCTTGGTCTACTCGGAAAGAAATACAAGTTGCAGACCACAAAGGTGGACGTAATACAAATGGAAATTTGGAATTGGGTGACATAGTTTTGGTGTGTGACGTTACCATGTACAGACTAAAACTATTGTCTCATTCATCCTGTATTCAACCACGACACGAACCATCAAAGTTTATCTTGCTTCTTGCCTCACACGAATACACTTGGAATTCTGTACCGTCTCTTATCTCAAGTTGTCATACCGTTGCTCAATTTAAGAATTGTATTCACACTTATTTGTTCACCTTCAAGAGTGCGATTTATTGCCAGCAACTTGGCGTTGTGGGCATTTTGGCCCGTGCTTCGTAAAAAAAAGGTTTGCTAAATGAAAGCCTCGGCATATTGTATGGGACGTGAGGATTGTGTGATCATACTGCACCATGCCGGTCAGTGCGGGTTGGTAAAAGACCCACGTTGTTTAGCCAAGAGTAAAGTGTAGCCTACCTTCCAAAAGTGCACACTAACCGCGTGTCAATCGCAGCGAGGGTGCAGTGAATGACTAGGGAAGGCGACTTGAACCCCAACTCTTTCTAATCACACACTAAGGAGGGGGCATCGTTAAGTATCAACGTTAATTCTGCTCCACGTTCAAGAATAGAGGGCGCCACGGAGGCACGATGTTAACTACCTTGCCTGGTATACAGGAGGTCGTGGGTTCGATCCCGACCCTGACGCCTGCTTATATGTTTGGAGTTTGCATGTCCTCCGCGTGGTCGCGTGGATTTTTTGCTGGGTCCTCTGGTTTTTCCCTCTACATTTAGAATCAATATGCGTTTAGAGTATTTGGCTATTATAAAATATACACATGATAAGCCACTTTGTTGAGCTATCATTTGTGATAGCTAGTTCGCTTCTGAAATAAATCTACATCGCTCAGTGGGACTTTAAATAGTTTTTTTTATTTAACATTCAGCATGTGTAATATTAATACAAAACTTGGCTTTCTGGATAAGAGGCCTCGCCACGCCGTGTCGGTTATGGTAGTTGTTTTTTCATACTCTTGAGGTGCAGGGGGGAGCAGTAAGATATTACTCTGTGTTATCAGTGGCTAGAAATCAAGTCGTATAGCCGGGTTGATAGCAACAGAGCGGAAACTACTGTGCCATAACTCAACCCAAACAATTTAAGAAACACCATTTGCTATATTTACAAGTCCAATATAAAACTATTGATGTGATTCGGAATCAGAATCTTTATTTATACTGCAGGAATCCGATGAGCTATGAAGCTCTTTTTCACAGACGTCCAGTAGGGGCGGGTCAGAAAGGCACAGACAGTAACACATTTATCTTATATTCTGAGAACACTAAGATTTGTTCAGAGTAACATATCTAATACTGTGTTGTTTCCCCTGATCTCAGTGTCCTGAAAGTATGCCTTTTGTGAGATTATGCAAATTAAGTGGCTGAAAAGAGGCGAATTATTAAATTCAATGTTGCAGCCAGTCCTTTGTAGATAAATTATACGCAAAAGTTGATTCTAAAGTGTTGTAACGAAGTGATCAAAGCAGAATCGGCTATACCCACATATATTTGCATCAAAATGTTGCAGCATTCTAAAGTGTCGCAACATTTCCCTCACATCCGATTAGCATGATTGGATACGTGCGGTGCAGAATAAGTTCAACATTCGCTCATGGATTGGTTGTCTTGACGTTTATTTGGATTGTCAAGAATTTGTTTACAGGTAGCCCCTAAAATAAAATTGGACATTTCTCAAATACCCTAAATCATCGAAACATCCGGGGGTGCAATTTTATTGCTTCCCACATTTACCGGCGGTGACGGGGTACATCCGGCGAAACTGCTCCAAAGGCTGTAACCAGTCTGGCGATTGGCACCACATGCATGACAACACAAGTAGCAATGCTTCATTTCAATGTTAAATATTGGGTACAGTACATTATACACTACATACAACTTAAATAATGAAAATACTGCACGTACATAAACCACTTTTTTTCATGAAGAATAAAAACAAAAAATATACAGTGCGATCCGGCGAAAAGTGCGTGAAATTCGGCGTTCACCGAAGTACCCGTTTAAAGGCTGCATTGTCAAACACAAGTTGTTGAAACAACAGCGGATTTCAGTAGGCTCATTCTTATAAGCAATGTGTTCAATTGCGTTTGCAAGCAATATACGGACACAGTTGGATTCAGACTGAATAACCACTTTCAATTCTATACCCCCTATCATCACCCCAGTCTTCGAGATTGGAGTCGTAAGTACAGTACAATAAATAAAGTAACCATTTACAGGAGGATATTAATTTATCTATTTGTGTGTTTATGCTAATTTCACGTAGTAAACAATTTTAAACACAACAAATTTACACAACACCTACAAACATGTTATTCAAGAATGTGCAAACATATTATTGGTTCTTTCAGTAAAGTCATGTAGATAGAAAAAGAAAAATATTAAAATTAAAAATGTAACTTTTAAAAAAATGGAAATAATAAATAAATAATGAAAGCCAAAAAATACAAGAAAGTTTTCGAAATAAATCGAAAATAATAAAAGCAAAAAACCCACGACGTTTCGATCGCGACACAAGCAAAGACCGCTTGTGTCGTGGGTTTTTTGCTTAGGAAACACCTATTATCATATTTTGGTACAGCCAAAGGAGGTCCCATGATCCTTATGTGCTGTGCAGTACATCAATGCACGTGTGTACACCAGCATGCGATAACTCAGTTGGGCCTGTGGGTGGCCGGCAGGGTTATTTATTAATCGGACTTAAATACATGTCACGTGATTAATGGCGACTCGGTTAAGGATTGCTGTGTGTGACACGTGCTGTTGCAGTTTACAGATTTACCACAATAAATGTGTTTGCCCTCGATTTGGAGCACCTGCCCACGTCCTTCATTTCGAGTGTGCAACACACGGTATTGATAGAGCAGTGACAAGTGACTGTTGAACTTGTCCTGTGCCTGCCCTCTACGCATACCTGTCAACTCCTTATCAGTGCCCTACCTAATTACAGACCAATTCAGACCTTATCGGTTACCCCGTGCCCTGATAAAGCTCAACGTTCATGCTAGAAAGTCCCATCACACGGGAGACACACAAACAAATAGAAAAAACTATTTTTTTTCCCGAATTGAAACAGCTGTACGCCACATGGACCTGAAAACTCAATTTCCCTGTGCAAGAATACAGCGTGAACTGCATGGGTTGATAGATATGCCTACGTCGACTCGGCATTGATACGAATAGCTAATGAGGGGCTTTTTAACACGAGCAAAGGGGGAGACAAATGTGGCCAGGCGTGGGAATAGCCACACCAACCCCTCACGCATCATTCTACCCTAAATAGGTGCTCAGTAGCAGAATTTACAGTCTATGCAAACTATATTGGGGGGTCTTTGTCATTGTCATACGGGCCCCATGTACAAGTACAGTACAAAGAGCACCCACCCCCCGTGTTGCCTTAACAGACTGTTGGGGCAAGCGTCGTTAGCGAGCACCTATGAAGGCCGGAACGGCACACGTGGGAGTGGGTGGCCAGCACCACGCCCGGCCGCATTTGTCTCCCTAATGGTGATGTTTTACACTAGGTACTCATTTGAGGCTGAGTCGACCTAGGGGAGGCCCAGGACCGGTTCAGATTATTTTTACTGATGTTAGCCGTGAGCGGGAACCGAACCCGGGTCGCTGGGTTCATATCGCAGCTCACTAACCACTACACTATACACATACATATTAACACCGGGAAACACACACATGCAGATACACATGCAGATACACACATTAACACACGCACGCACACACAAGCAAATGTGCAAACAAATATACACACCAAGCGCTCTACACCTCGAAAAAAAAACACACGCAATCCATCCTGAATTTAAGCAGATCCTCTCATTAAAATTTTAATTGGTATCAATGTCACGCGACGCCACTTGAGCAATCATTAGACGCTTCGAGCATTTTGTAAGCAACTTTTATTTGCATATTTGAAATGAAATGTAACTTCTTTGCGACGTAATGATGGTGGGGCTCCGCTAACTGGGTTTTGGGGAAACCTGGGTTATAAGAAGCATTTAAAAGTTGTGTGAGCAATGCAATGATGCTTCATACACACAAACTAATTGACTTGTGGCCGCATGTGAAAATCAGTCTTGGTATTTCCAAGATGGCAGCAAACCATTTATTTGGGGGTCGGGACAGCAAGCAGGGTGTAATGAAGCCGACATTCACAGCAGTGGTTGAGTGGTGCGTTCGGTCTTCAATGGCACTCAAGTTCAGTAGAGCAGCGTGCGCGTGAAAGCAGATGTCCCAAAATTGCTAAATAATTGCACTTCTCTGACGTAAAGGCATCTTCAACGCGGTGGGACAATTGCTTTACGCGGACCAGGAGAATGTCTTGAAAAACGAAAGGGTCTCCGCTTCATTCGATTACACGTTCACACGTAAGGGAATGGAGTAAAGGCAAAGGAGTAATTGCAAGATTTCAATGACATCTAGAGAAGCAAAAAAATCAGCTACAAGACCAAACCGAGCATCTGAGGAACAATGCGTGTTCAGTACAGCTGTGTATGCCTGCGAGACTTGGACATTGAAAAAGACTGACAGAGATAATATATTGGCATTCGAAATGTATTGCCACATGAGGATTACTGCATCTGTGCTGGACCCAAAGAGTGACCAATGTGGAAGTAGGAAAAAGGTTGCCCGTACAAAAAGACAACCTGATGATGCAGGCAGTGATAAGAATGAAACTGGCACTGTTTCGACACATATGTAGGATAGACAACAACAGGGAAATTCAAAGTATGTGCGGAAAAATGCAAGGAACTGAAAAGAGATGAAGACCTAACAGAGAATATCTTGACGACGACATAAGAGATTGGTGCCAGAAAAATGTGGCAATACTTCAGCGTATTGGCACTACAAGACAGAGGAAAGTGTAAACAAATGACGGAGTATGTTCATAGATCGTGGTGATGATGATGATGACGTGTTCACATTTTCTCAAACACAAGCAAAATGATCCTGAACTACGCTGATAAATCTGCCAAGGTGTTTAATGTTTTGTTTAACGTTTTGTATTTAGACCACTGCTGTGAATTGCGCGTTGAGCATCATGTATTATGCACTTCCACTTGGCTTTCAACTTTTTTCCGATAAACTAGAAAGACACCTTTACTCTGAACCACCCGCATATAAAACATTCAGTGCAAGTTTAAAAGCTTACGTGATGCATACACTGTTAATGCAAGCGTGTGGCGTGTACGCCATGAAATGCAAAAAATATCATTTGGAGAACTAAACTCCACCGCTGGTTTAGCACGCGGCCTTGGTGCAGAACTGGAATTTCCACCTGCGATCCCTGTGGACACAAGAAGAAAAATGCAAATAAGTTAAAAACGTGTCGTTAAACTCCACCGCCACCACCCGACACAGCCAATCAGTAAAGTTTGTCAAAATCTGCATTATACATCTAAAGCAATGACAACATGATCCTAAACCGATACATTTTACATCTAACATCTAAAACGCAGTCCAACGCCAATCCACTGCCGGATGAAGGCCTTCCAATGACCGTGTTAGTCACAGCGGCTGTTTGACCATACTTCACCACGCTGGGTAGTGTGCGTTGGTGAAGGAGATTGTGGGCTCAAGATCGTTTTCGGACTGATGTAAGCCATGGCCTGGAATATACCTCATTTGGTTCTGAGGATATGATTTTGTTATTTTTTTGGTTAGATAACGTAAATATAAAGGCGTCGTTAAACCCAATCACCACTCGACACGGCCAATTAGTAAGGTTTGTCACGTAAATAAAACGTGGCCAATTAGTTTAGGAATTCAGCACTAGCCAGCTGTGTGTTGGAGAGTAAAGCCACAACCACATTTACAATTTGAGTACTGTGACGTGTGCTGAACTTGTAACTAATTTGTCACGTGTTGTTTATATGCCAAAACTTACTGGTTGGCTGTGCCGGATGGTGGCGGGTTCAACGACACATTATATTTACGTAATGTAACCAAAAACAACCTCCTATGGATAATATTGGTCTTGACAGCTCTACTACTAAATGTTGAATTGAAAATAAATACGTTTGTACACAGATATTATCCTTACCCGTGTATTGATAGTTTCATGTTTTATGTGCAATGTAATTGAGGGACTATGTGTTATTGTCTTTGTGTGGTCTGCAACTGTTGATGTTGTCTTGGTGTAGTCTGGGACTGTTGTTGTTGTCTTGGTGTGGTCTGAGACTGTTGTTGTTCTCTTGGTGTGGTCTGAGACTGTTGTTGTTCTCTTGGTGTGGTCTGGGAGTGTTGTTGTTTTGGTGTGGTCTGGGACTGCTGTTGTTGTCTTGGTGTGGTCTGGGAGTGTTGTTGTTGTCTTGGTGTGGTCTGGTACTGTTGTTGTTGTCTTGTTGTGGTCTGGGACTGTTGTTGTTGTCTTGGTGTGGTCTGGTACTGTTGTTGTTGTCTTGGTGTGGTCTGGTACTGTTGTTGTTGTCTTGGTGTGGTCTGGTACTGTTGTTGTTGTCTTGGTGTGGTCTGGGACTGTTGTTGTTGTCTTGGTGTGGTCTGGGACTGTTGTTGTTGTTGTCTTGGTGTGGTCTGGGACTGTTGTTGTTGTTGTCTTGGTGTGGTCTGGGACTGTTGTTGTCTTGGTGTGGTCTGGTACTGTTGTTGTCTTGGTGTGGTCTGGTACTGTTGTTGTCTTGTTGTGGTCTGGTACTGTTGTTGTCTTGTTGTGGTCTGGGACTGTTGTTGTTGTCTTGGTGTGGTCTGGGACTGTTGTTGTCTTGGTGTGGTCTGGTACTGTTGTTGTTGTCTTGTTGTGGTCTGGTACTGTTGTTGTTGTCTTGGTGTGGTCTGGTACTGTTGTTGTTGTCTTGGTGTGGTCTGGGACTGTTGTTGTTGTTGTCTTGGTGTGGTCTGGGACTGTTGTTGTTGTTGTCTTGGTGTGGTCTGGGACTGTTGTTGTTGTTGTCTTGGTGTGGTCTGGGACTGTTGTTGTCTTGGTGTGGTCTGGTACTGTTAATGTTAGTCTTTGGGTCTTTCGGTAAAGTCACGTGGATAGAAATAAAAAAGAAAAAGAAAAGAAAAATATCACGACGTTCCGATCGCAACGCAAGCACTCGTCTTCAGGCGTAAAAAGTGGAGGACTTGCTTGATACTGATTCGAATTCATGGACTGATAGTACTTTGCTGAACACACAATATTGTTGAGTTTCTGCATCAAGCTATAATCTATATCCCGCAGAGAGGGTCCCTTGCTCATAAATATCTGGGCAGTTCACCTCCATTTTTTCCGCCTGAAGACGATTGCTTGCGTTGCGATCGGAACGTCGTGATATTTTTATTTTCCACTATTTCTATCCACGTGACTTTACCGAAAGACGCAAAGAATATGAATTCCTGCAGTCACGAAAGCTTTAAGTCACTGTTATTGTTGTTTTCTGCCTTGCTGCAAGCTCGCACGTGGTGTTGAAAAATGAGCAAGACTATGTACTTAAGCAATTTGTACTTATATCCGGGTAGCCCTCGACATACGAAGACACTTTGTTTCTGAGAACCATTGGTAAGTCAAACAGTGCGTAAGTCGGAGCACAACAATGTACTACACTTAAATGTGTTATGAAGTGCGTTACGGAATCTTATCAGCAAAAGTCAGGGACACTCATACCGATGCTGGTGAACTGCCCAGATATTTATGAGCAAGGGACCCTCTCTGCGGGATATGGATTCTAGCTTGATGCAAAAACTCAACAATACTTTGTCTTCAGCAAAGTACTATCAGTCCATGAATTCGAATCAGTATCATCATCCATGCAGCTGGATTAAAGCTTCTGCACATCGACATCTCAGGAGGTTGGGAAAGGTGTCGATGTTGCTGCTGTATTTAATCCAAACGGAGTCAATTTGCAGGTAATTCTTCACCAATGGGGATGTTATGGCCGATGTCAGTCACATTGTGTGTGTGTGCGCGTGTGTTTATTTTTGCGACACTAGTTGTTGTGAGCGACGCTCACAACAACGACGCTCACAACAATGAGCGGAGCGCCGGGTTGCTAAAGCACAGAAAGTTGGCAAGTAAGGGGGCACACTTGGTGCATCAGCCAGTCGTCTCAGTCAGTCGACCCGGGGTATCTGGGTCTGCCCCGTGACCTCCTGCCAGCGGGCGTTTGACACTTCACGTGGCATCAAGGTGCACATAGTCTGGCACAAGCGTCGCGGTGACGTCACCGCCACTTAGTGGGAAATGATGGATGTTGGTATTCATTTGTGTGTTTATTGACTTGGTCAAGGCCTATGATACCATAAAGAGGCCTGGGCTCTGGGTTGTTGATCGTGCTTTTGGAGTCCCTGACTCTGCTCACAATCATTAAGGATCTTCATAATGGTGGGCATGCCCGGGTAAAGCTGCGTGGCTGGGAGTCAGAGCCATTCCCTGTTAATCTTGGGGTGTTCACTGGCTTCTATAATATGTAACATAATTTTTAAATCATGTAGTTCGAGAAGCTTTCCATGGTTGTACTGGAGGAATCTCCATCTGTTACAGATAAAATGGTAGGCTGATCAATGCTCGGATTGCGGTCGAGAGATACCTCCCTGTTGGTCAATCATGTTATGTACTAGCATTTTGCCCGTCCAAGGACGGGTGTATTGCAGTAAATCTGAAATTGCAAGCGAAAAGCAGACCACGACGTGATATTAATTGCATCCATTCGTGTGCAATTTGTAAGGCCACAGTGACACAGACTTTTTTCATTTAAAGGTTATAATCTCTTGTTCATCATGACGTCCTTTTAACTTCTACATCTCAATAGCGTTACGGAGATCGCGTGATGCGAGGGTTCTGCCTTTGTAGTGAGGGTTGTAAGTTGACGCTGAAAAGGGGGGAGGAGGCGCCTCGCCCCCCCATGTGGAGTGACGTCACCCACTAATTATTATTAATGGAGGGGTTGTCCATTTGGAGGATGTCACCTGTTCATGATTATTAATGAGGGGGGCTGTTCAATGTGGAGTGACGTCACCCGCTCATGATTATTAATGAGGGGGGGTCCATGTGAAGGACGTAACCTGTTCATAATTATTAATGAGGGGGGCTGGTCGACGTGGAGTGACGTCATGCGCGGGACACACGGACATTCATGGCTCATTATAGTAGTAAATGCTGATGATCTGGTGATTGCTGCTCACTTAGAGGAGTTGAAGTCGCTGCTGCTTGACCTGGAGCATGCTACTAAGAGGTGGGGCCTTACCATCCGCACCTCCAAAACTCAGCACCTTCCTGGGTATTTTGTATTATAAAACACTCCACTCCCTCAATTCACCATTGGCGGGGCAGTTACACACACTCGCTGCAGAACAGAAGGGAGTTCAATGGAAGTTGAACATACACTACATAGACTCACACAGAGACCCATAGGCTCACACAGAGACCCATAGACTCGCACAGAGACCCATAGACTCACACAAAGACCCGGAGACTCACACAGAGACCCATAGACTCACACAGAGACCCATAAACTCACACAGAGACCCATAGACTCACACAGAGACCCATAGACTCACACAGAGACCCATAGACTCACACAAAGACCCATAGACTCACACAGAGACCCATAGACTCACACAGAGATCCATAGACTCACACAGAGACCCATAAACTCACACAGAGACCCATAAACTCACACAGAGACCCATAGACTCACAGAGAGACCCATAGACTCACACAGAGACCCATAGACTCACACAGAGACCCATAGACTCACACAGAGACCCATAGACTCACACAGAGACCCATAGACTCACACAGAGACCCATAGACTCACACAGAGATCCATAGGCTCGCACAGAGCCGCATAGTTTGTTGTCCTTCCCCCACACTTTCGATTAGCATGGTTGGCTATGTATGGTGTGAAAGAAGTTCAACACGTGTACACACTTACTTCCACAGTCTCTGCAGAACAGAGGAGAGAGCATATACACTCCACGCTGAAATGCGCCCTGAACCCCGGTCCCCATCTTGCTGTGTCCAATGATAGCGGTTTGTGAAGTGAACCTTATGGCGGGACCACGGGGTCCCATAAGCCCCCGGTGCTCGCATGAACTGCGTTGCGACGTAATTTTATGTCTGTTGAAGGTGAACGATACGGCAATCTATTCATCTCGACGAGCTATACACAATGCACTAATCAACGTTTCAAAATTTAGTTTATGAATACAGCAATTTTGGCAACGACGGGTGCTCATTGAAGAAAGAGGATTGATTTCTGGTAGGTCCACGGCGTTTATGTGCGCGGTAAGACGGAGTCGCCAAAAAATTATTCATTACGATTTTGACTTCCGTTTATTCGGGAACCCGAGGTCCCGCCATAAGGTTCAAGTGTCAAGTGACAACAGCCACCGACGGGCGGACAAACTTACTCGGCGTCATTGCTGTGGTAGCTGTGCGCCCCCACCAGGTACCGGGAGTCCGGGGTGACCCAGAAGATTGGCGCGTCGAAGTCGTTGAGGTAGTCAGTCCACTGGCACGCACCCATGCAGACGTTGGCCTGCATGGTGCAGGTGAACTTCCATCTGCAAGGCAATGATCGTCATCCTCGTCATCATCCTCATCATTGTCATCATCTCTGTGATTTTCATGACTACAAATATAAGTGGAAAACACCATTTGATAACCACCGTAATTATGGCAATCGCCGTCATTATGGGCACCACAGTGATGGGGAAATGTTAACTACTTCCCCTGGTTTACAGGAGGCCGTGGATTTGATTTCTGGACCGTGACGCCTGCTGTATATTTGGAGTTGGCATCTCTCTCTCTCTCCCTGTGGTCGCATGCATTTTTCTGAGGGTCCTCCAGTTTTCCCTCCATATTTAGAAACATTCGTTTCGAGTATTTTTCTGCTATACATTTATCCATGATACGCCACTTCGTTGAGCTATAATTTGTGATGGCCAGGTTACTTCTGAAAAAGAGCTACACAGCTCAATGGGGCCTTACATGGCAAAATATAAACATACAATAAAATAGTGAGCGAAGTGGTTGGGGACCCAAAAAGCACCAACACCAATGCTCATAATGCCAAACTCCACCAACACCAACATCTCATCAATACCACCAACACCAATATCTCATAAATTCCAGCAACACCAATATCTCATCAATACCACCAATATCTCATAAATTCCAGCAACACCAATATCTCATCAATACCACCAACATCTCATCAATTCCACCAACACCAAAATCTCATCAATACCACCAACACCAATATCACATAAATTCCACCAATACAATATCTCATAAATTCCACCAACACCAATACCTCATCAATTCCACCAACACCATTATCTCATCAATACCACCAACACCAATATCACAATTCATCACTTCCAACATCATCTACATCACAACCACAAACCATCACACGAACTTCCGTCATCCTCGCAGCAGCGGCTTTTGGCTAGCTATCGAACAAAGATGGTGACCGCATAGTGCGGCACTTTCAGATACGCTGCTTCTGCGGCCATCTGGAATGCTCTTCCTTCCGATACTGGGAAGCCACTGGAGTTATGCACTTTTAAATCATCATCAAACTCATTTACTTAGAACAGTTGTTTGTGTTTAGTGTGTTGTCCTTCCCCCTGCACCTACAATGCGAAAGCAGTTCAATATACATACATCATCGCCACCATCACCAGCACCATCATTCTGTCCATCACCACCAAAAAATACCAAGATCCCCCATGTCGTATTAACAGACTGCTGGGGAAAGTGCTGTTAGTGAGGACCTATGAAGGCCGGCACGGCAAATACAGAGGTGGGTGTCCATCACCACGCATGGCCGCCTTTGTCTCCCAAGTAGCAATGTTTACACATTGCACCAGGTACTCATTTGAGGCTGAGTCGCCCTGGGAAAAGCCCAGGTACTAATGAAGATAATCGCTATCACTGGTGTCGGCCGTGAACAGGAATCGAACCGGGTTTTGCAGCGCAAGTGCGCTAACTAGAGGTCACCACACACGGTGGCTAGGAGATGTTAACTACCTCGCCTAGTATGCAGGAGGTCAGGGATTCAATCGGTCGGGTTTGCACCATCCACTGCGCTTACAGCTTCCCATACACACACAGTGGATATGAGATCTTGATTTGAAGCTTTCGTGACTGCAGGAATCCATGCTCTTTGGTGACTTTATCGAAAGAACAAATGGGTATGGATAGGAGATGTTAACTACCTCGCCTGGCATGCAGGATGTCAGGGGTTCAATTGTTCGGGTTTGCATCATCCACTGATCTTACAGCTCCCCATACACACACAGCGGGGAGGAGATGTTAGCTACCTCGCCTGGTATGAAGGAGGTCGTGGGGGGGGGGGGGGGTGGAGTTTGCCACCACCGCTGGCGCTTTCGCTAATCGGCTCTTTCCCACAGCTTTGTCAAATTCGAAGCAACCGGCGGTCCCATCACCTGCGGTCCTCCGCGTCGTTGCTGTGGTAGCTCCCGATGCCGGACACGATGGAGTTGAAGGGGCAGGTGAAATCCAGCTTCTCGTCGAAGTTGTTCACGTACGAGGTCGCGAAGGAGGAGACGGGGCGGCTCACGTCGAACGTCTCCTTGCAGCGGAAGTCCCAGATACGGTCCTCAGCGTCGTTGTTGTGGATGCTAACAGCCACCCACCCACACACACGCAGATAGACACCGATGCAGGGGGATATTAACTACCTCGCCTGGTATGCGGGAGGTCGTGGGTTCCATCTCGACCCTGATGCCTGCTGTGTCCCCCCCCTCCCCGCGTAGTCGCGTAGATTTTTTTCTGGGTCCTCCGGTTTTTCCCTCCCCATTTATAAACACACGTTTAGAGTATTTGTCTGTATTGCAATAAATTAACCTCATGGCAGACCCCAGGGTCCCATAGGCCCCCGACTCTCGCATAATCTGCGTTGCGACATCATTTTATGTCTGTTGAAGGCAAACGATACGGCAATCTATTCCTCTAGAGGAGCTCTACACGATGCGTCAATCAAAGTTTCAATTATTTGTTTCTTTTGCGCATTCGTCCTCGCCGCGCTTGGACGACAATGACAGCCGAACGATCCGCGCCAGGTGGGTCGCGGCGTTTCTGTGCGCGGTGGAACGGAGTCGCCAAAAATAAATAAATAAATTCCGATTTTTTTTTTTTTTTTTTTTTTTTTTTTTCGGAACCTTGGGGTCCAGAATAAACAGAAGGTTCAAATGCCCACGTGATAAGCCACGTCGTTGAACTATATATCCTTTTAGGCCAAGACGCTTCTGAAAAAGAGCTAAGTGAGCCTTACCTGGTAAAATAAAAAAAATTGTTTAGTTTTAAACGGGCAGGGCGCAAGCTGCAGAAGAGTTGAAGCTGATATGGTAAAGGAGGATGTGGAGCTGAGTGGACCTGCCGATGAGCGGTACTGGCGGTGTCAAGATCGGCCTCTGAGGAGGAGGAGGCTCGTGAAGGACGCAACAACAACTACGGAGCGCAGATGAGCGACTCTCACAACACGGAGCGGAGTGCCGGGCTGCTAAAATACAGAAAGTTGGCACAGTGGGGAGCACAGGTGGTGCATCTGCAAATCATCTCAGTTAACCCATGGCACCACCTGGTTCTGTCCCGTGACTTTCTGCCAGCGGGCGTTCGACACATCACTTTGGCCTCAAAGTGCACCAATACCAATATCCGCCATTCGCCACGAAGTGGTCGTGACGTCCCCACGGCACATGTGCCAGGCCAGGTGCACTTTGAGGACGCGTGAAGTGTTGAAGACTCGCTGCCAGCAGGTCGACTTACACACAGGGCTATACCTAATAAATGAACTGAACTGAGGTCACAGGACAAACCCAGGTGCCATGGGATGACTGGCTGAGATGACTGGCAGTTGCACCAAAGTGCACCTAGCCTGTTGCAAACAACGTGGTGACTTCACCGCCAACTTAGTGGTGTTATGTGTGTGTGCGTACCTGTGATGGTACAGGTTAAGCGCGCTGCGCTACAAACCCAGCGACCCGAGTTCCATTCCGGCCCGAGGCCAACACCATTGACGATTATCTGAACAGAGTCTGGACCTCCCCTAGGTCGACTCAGCCTTAAATGAGTACCCCCCGTTGCGGTGTGTAGTAAACATTTACACTCAGAAGACAAAGGCGGCCGGGCGGGCGTGGTAGTGCTGGCCACCCACCCCCTGCATGTGCCATAGTGCCGACCTTCATAGGCACTGCTACTCACTACTAACACCACATGCCAGAACAATTTGTTAAAGGCTACACGGGGGGGGGGGATCTTTGCCCTTTTGTGCCTTCCAACAGTCCTCGACTTACACACACCCGGCTTAGGGGCCGTTCATAAATGACGTCACGCGATTTTTGACCCCCCCTTCCCCTTCGTCACACGACGTCACAAAAAGTCAGACCTCCCCCTCAAATATGACGTCACAAAGCTCTGCGTATTTAATGTGGCGCTGCACTCTGATGTTGTAGGAGAAAACATTCATTAAAAAGTCTATTTAATTATGTAGAACGTGTTGTCTATATTTATTTAAAGTTGCGCATTTTTACGTGACGTCATATTTCTCAACCCCCCCCCCCTCGTCACACATCGTCACAAATGTCTGACCCCCCCCCCCCCCAGATACGTGACGTCATTTATGGACGTCCCCTTAGGAATACTCGCACTTACGAAGCAGCTTCCATGAAATAAATATTTTTTTACATTTGCTTAAAGCGCGAACTCTCACTTGCAAACTGAACCGCAGGACCATTTTGTTCAGCCGAGCGCTCATCCGCGAGACGTAATGAAGTCAGCCTCGTGCTGGGAGGGAGTGTCTGTGTGAGCATGACATGCGGTAGTTTACTGTGTTCCGACTTGCGAACCGTTCAACTTACGAACGGCGGGGTCTCGGGAACGAATTATGTTTATAAGTCGAGGACTGCCCGCACCTGTGGATGATGTAGATGGACTGGTGAGCCGGGCAAGAGAAGTCGATGGGTCCGTCGTAGCTGTTGACGTAGCGTTTGTGCAGCGATCGCAACCCGGTGACATCTGCACAGAACACGGAACGGGGGGCGGGGGGTGGGGCAGTGAACAATCAGCAGAGCAGTGAACACAGAATCAAAGTCTTCATATATTGGGAGGCAGGTTGGTGACATTAAAAACTAAACGAAACTTAATCAGAATACTTTATTTTTGCTGCTGTATCCAGGGACTCCTCTACTTACGAACAAGTTAGGTTCCAGAGGTCTGTTCGTAAGTCGGTTTGTTTGTAAGTCCAACTTTACTCCTGTCGTTTGTACGGCATATACACTAAACACGGCGAATGGCTTTGAAAGTTGTATAGTCTCCTGCAGATGTAGATGCCACTGATTCTTCATGTCCTGCAGATGTAGATGCCACTGGTTCTTCATGTCCTGCAGATGTAGATGCCACTGATTCTTCATGTTCTACAGATGTAGATGCCACTGGTTCTTCATGTTCTGCCGATGTAGATGCCATTGGTTCTTCATGTTCTGCAGATGTAGATGCCACTGGTTCTTGATGTTCTGTAGATGTAGATGCCACTGGTTATTCATGTTCTGCAGATGTAGATGCCACTGGTTCTTCGTGTTCTGCAGATGTAGATGCCACTGGTTCTTCATGTTCTGCGGATGTAGATGCCACCACCGCCATCTATTGCGCATCAGTTGAGCTGATGACTCTCGATCCGAACAGGCAACTGGACATATGGACAGGTTTGTTACCATCTCTGAATGTTGTAAGTCGAATGTTCATAAGCACAAGAGTCCCTTATCTCCAAATGATAAGCCGCTTTATTGGGCTATCATTTCTGATAGGCAGTTTGCTTCTGACAAAGATCAAAACAGCAGCTCAGTGAGTCCTTCTTACCGGGTAAAATAAAACATGGTTAGTATTTTCGATTTAAAGCTTTCGTGACTGCAGGGATTCATCTTCTTGGTTCTTTCGGTAAAGTCACGTAGAACATGGTTAGTAGTTTTAGCAGGCAGCCGAGGGGGCGTGTCTAATCTTCATAGTCAACTTTCAAGTAGCTGAAGTGAGCAAAAGGGCTGCTGCAATTGTTTCTTGCTGTGGTTGTCCCACCTGATGACGGACGCTTGTGTTGCGCCCGAAAGGTCGTGATTTTATTGATTTCATTTTATACCTACGTGACTTTACCAAAATAACCAAAGAGTATGGATCCCTGCAGTCACGAAAATATTTAATCTTACCAGGTAAAGCCCACTGAGTTACGTACAGGAGCTCTTTTGCAGAAACCACCTTGCTGTCATAAATGATAGCTCAACGAAGTGGCCTTATCATCATCATCATCTTGAAATGTACCGCTGCAGCCAAATACTACAAACCCGTGATGTTAATTTTTTCATGTGGAGAGGAAAGCCGGAGGGACCCGGCGAAAAATCCACACGAGCACAGGGAGAACACGCAGACTCCAAATATACAGCAGCAGGCGTCAGGGTCGGGATCGAACCCACGACCTCCTGTATACCGGGCGAGGAAGTTAGCATCTCCTATAGCCACTGTGGCGCCCTTTCAAGAAAGTAAATCTCAAAAAACAGCGAAACTTAAAACGAGACGGTGAATCAATCCCACTGGCAGTAGCATCGCAAATAAACAACGATGCTCGTGAGAGAAGAGTTACTCCTCCTTCGAGACGGTGAAACGCGTGTTTAGAAACGTGCGTTTAGAGAGTCAATTTATTTGTCTGTTATGAATTTCCACGCGATTGCGATGGGCCGCTTCGTTGCGCCGTCATTTGTGGCCAGCCAGGTCGCTTCTGCAAAAATAAGTAATATTGAAAATACTTTTTTTTAAACACGCGTTAATGAATTGTACCGTACTAGTAATGGCAGAACTCCACGACTCCAGGAAGTGGCCCGAAGCTTGCCATAAGCCAAGCCGAAACATAACATGTAAAAAATATTGATTAAAAGTATATTTATATTTTATTTTTAATGATAGAATATAGTATTGTCATCAGTATGACATACGTATACCAAGTTTGCAGTCGATATCACATTGTGAAGTGGGTTAAAATTGGGTTACAAGATTTGAGGATTCGACAACAGACAGAGTGAGTTTATAAAAGCATGTAAAAAATAGCTGCATAGCAACTGAGTGGGGCCTTATATTTAGTTTATTGTTTGGTGTATGTGTCTCTATGTATCTCTATGGGTCTATATGCATCTCTATGCATATCTATGGGTCTCTATGCATTTAGAGTATTTATTTGGGTGATATAAATTTACACAGCTAGGTCGCTTGTGCAAAAGAGATACATAGATCAGTGGTGCTTTACCTGGTAAGATTTTTTTAATGTGTTTAATGAAAAATTTGTTTCATAGTTTAATAATTCCGAGAGGCAGCAAATCGTAAAAAAAACGGTGAATCGCATGAGACAAGTGAATCCCACTGACAGTGAATCTCATGAAACAATTCGTCCCTCAAAGCAATGAGAAACAATTAATCTCAAGAGACGTACGTATATTGAACTTCTTTCGCACCGTACGTAGCCAACCGTGCTAATCAGAGGTTCTGAGGAAATACAATAAACTGAACACAACAACAAGCAGCAGTTGTAAAGAAAAGAGTTTGTCAATCTAGATGATGATTTAAAAGTGCATAGCTGCAGTGGCTCCCTTTGTCTGTGGTGGTGGTGGTGTTGGAATAAATTGCTGCTGCAGTTAATCACTGTATTGTGCTGCTCCTGCTGCTGCTAATGATGATGCCGATGCTGTTGATGACAGCAACGATAGCGACACTCAGCATTCAATATACCGGAGGAATCCGATGAGCCATGAAGCTCTTTCGTCCACTTACTCAGGGGTGTCGCCTCCATGCCGACCGCCAGAGCCACGACGAGGAGGAGGAGGAGGAGCTGCTGCTGCTGCATGGTGGTGATGGATGAGAGCTTAGCTGGCACCGAGCTTGGAAAGAGGAATTCGGATGGTCGGTGTCTCGTTGCCCTCTTCGCTTTATAGAACCCCACCACCACCATCCCAGTGGGGATGGTGGTGGAGGGGGGGATGGAATCTCCACTCTTGCGCCACCGGTTAGCCACAGGCTCGGTGGGTGAGCAAATAAAAAAACGATGAACACGCAGAGATGAATTATTCGCCCGAGGTTCCAATAATCGCTCACTCGCACACGTCAACGTGCAAACAAACAAAACTATCATTAAAGTCGTGTGTGTCCACATCCCATCAGCATACATACACTACATAGACTCGCACACAGACTCATACACTCACCCAGACCCACAGACTCACAGAGACCCACAGACTCACACAGAGACCCACAGACTCATGCAAAGACCCACAGACTCACACAGAGACCCACAGACTCACACAGACCCACAGACTCATGCAGAGACCCACACTCACACAGAAACCAACAGACTCATGCAGAGACCCACAGACTCACACAGAGACCGATAGACTCACATAAAGACCCATGCCCTCACATAGAGACTCACAGACTCACACAGAGACCCATAGACTAACACAGAGACCCACAGACTCACACAGAGACCCACAGACTCACACAGACCCACAGTCTCATGCAGAGACCCACAGAATCACACAGAGACCAAAAGACTCACACAGACACCCATAGACTCACACAGAGACCCACAGACTCACACAGAGACCCACAGACTCACACAGACCCACAGACTCATGCAGACACCCACAGACTCACACAGAGACCAACAGACTCACACAGACACCCATAGACTCACACAGAGACCCACCGACTCACACAGAGACCCACAGACTCACACAGACCCACAGACTCATGCAGAGACCCACAGACTCACACAGAGACCAACAGACTCACACAGAGACCCATAGACTCACACAGAGAACCATAGTTTGTTGTTCTTCCCCCACACTCCCGGTTCGCATGGTATGGCTACGTACGGTGCGAAAGAAGTTCAACATACCTACACCAACAACACTACCACCATCATTCTGTACATAGCAAAAAAAAATACAAAGATCCCCCGCATAGCCTTTAACAGACTGTCGGGGCAAGTGTTAGCGAGTAGCACCTATGAAGGCCGGCACAGCACACGAGGGGGTGGGTGGCCAGCATCACGTCCGGCCGCCTTTGTCTCCCCAGTGGCGATGTTTACACAACGCAACTGGGTACAGTCAGTTCTATATAACGCTGCGTGTTGTTGCCTAACGCGAATTGGATACACAACGCGATGCGTGTATTCGGGAACACGTCGTGTTTATAACGCGGATACGAATTGGATGTAAACGCGATCGAGCTGAACGAAACTACGTCGCAGCGAGCGTGAATAAGCGGTCGTATGGCTTTCCTCGGAGTAGCATCATCATCGCGCAAGGCAGTGGGATGCTGCTGGATGATGCTTCTAGACCAGACCCTTCACGCACCTCGGTCTTTGTTCGGCCCTGCGTTACGCATCTGACGCGTTATCGCGGACTCCTCTATTGTATTATAAATTTTGTTACGACGCGATATTTCCATAGCGCGGTGTTCTTTCAGGAACGCAACTACTACAACCATCGCGTTATGAGACCTCCTTTGGCAGTAGCAAGGTACTGTCAAAGGAGGTCTCAATGTAAATGCTTGTCCGAGCTCTCAATACTCTGATGGTGCATTGTCTTTGAGTTGTGCACCTTTTGGCGTCATCTAGTCCAACACCATGTGAGACTGGGCTCTAAGAAAAGCTGTCTCGGGTGTCGACCAATCAATTTCAAGGACAGTGCATAGATTATCAGAGTTGCCTTTTGTTTGCATTTTGACCGCAAGTGTTGTGGTTAACGCAAACATGATCCCTTGTAAAAAGGTGTCAGTTTTGTTGCCAGATAAAAGGGTAAAAACCTATTACTACTGCCCATAGACTCAACGCTGCACATAGACTCAACACTACCCATAGACTCAACAATGCCCATAGGCTAACACTGCCCATAGACTCAACACTACCATAGACTCAACACTGCCCATAGACTCAACACTACCCATAGGCTAACACTGCCCATAGACTCAATACTACCCATAGACTCAACACTGCCTATAGACTCAACACTGCCCATAGACTCAACACTGCCCATAGACTCAACACTACCCATAGACTCAACACTACCCATAGACTCAACAATGCCCATAGACTCAACACTGCCCAAACACTCAACACTACCCATAGACTCAACACTGCCCATAGACTCAACACTGCCCATAGACTAACACTACCCATAGACTCAACACTACCCATAGACTCAACACTACCCATAGACTCAACACTACCCATAGACCCAACACCGCCCATAGACTCAACACCGCCCATAGACTCAACACTACCCATATACTCAACACTACCCATAGACTCAACAATGCCCATAGACTCAACACTGCCCAACGACTCAACACTATCCATAGACTCAACACTACCCATAGACTCAACACTACCCATAGACTCAACACTACCCATAGACTAACAACTACCCATAGACTAAACACTGCCCATAGACTCAACAATGCCCATTGACTCAACACTGCCCAAAGACTCAACACTGCCCATAGACTCAGCACTGCCCATAGACTGAACACTGCCCATAGGCTCAACACTCTCCATGGACTCAACACTATCCATAGACTCAACAATGCCCATTTACTCAACACTACCCATAGACTAACACTGCCCAAAGATTCAACACTGCCCATAGACATTGAGACCTCCTTTGCCAGTAACTACTACCACCACCATCGCGTTATTGGAGGACGGACTGTACCTTTGTGTCCACGTCCAATCAGCCCATCAGCCTCACACGAGGCCTCCTGGGAGTGAGTTCTGGACGGGTTTTTTAATAAATAATAATTCCAGCAGCATTGATTCAATAGCGAGCAAAAATTATGCATCGGGTTTTGGCATTTAGTGCCTCATCTGCAAAGTCAGCCTTCCTAGAGCCAATGCTGGCGAAGTCCAAGATTTGTGCCGCGTTGTCTATGAGATGTTAACTACTTCGCCTGGTGTACAGGAGGTCGTGGGTTCGATCCCGACCCCGATGCCTGCTGCTGTATATTTGGAGTCTGCGTCTTTCTGTCTCTCCCATGGTGCATGGGTTTTTCTCTTGGTCCTCCAGTTTTTCCCTCCACATTCAGAATCAACATCACGGCATTGCGAGTTTTGGCTACTGCTATAAATTTACACATGGTGGTGATGATGATATGCCACTCCGTTGGGCTGTCATTTGTAATGGCCAGGGCGCTTCTGAAAAAGAGATATAGCTCAGTAGGCGTTACATACAGTGAGGGAAAAAGTATTTGATCCCCTGCTGATTTTGTAGGTTTGCCCACTGACAAAGAAATGATGAGTCTATAATTTAATGTAAGGTTTATTGAACAGTGAGAAACAAATATACAACAACAAAATCCAGAAAAACGCATGTCAAAAATTGTATAAATTGATTTGCATTTTAATGAGGGAAATAAGTATTTGACCCCCTCTTAATCAGAAAGATTTCTGGCTCCCAGGTGTCTTTTATACAGGTAACGAACTGAGATTAGGAGCACACTCTTAAAGGGAGTGCTTTGTTACCTGTATAAAAAACACCTACTCACAGAAGCAATCAATCAATCAGATTCCAAACTCTCCACCATGGCCAAAACCAAAGAGCTCTCCAAGGGTGTCAGGGACAAGATTGTAGACCTGCACAAGGCTGGGATGGGCTACAAGAACATTGCCAAGCAGCTTGGTGAGAAGGTGACAACAGTTGGTGCGATTATTCGCAAATGGAAGAAACACAAAAGAACTGTCAATCTCCCTCGGCTGGGGCTCCATGCAAGATCTCACCTCGTGGAGTTGCAATGATCATGAGAACGGTGAGGAATCAGCCCAGAACTACACGGGAAGATCTTGTCAATGATCTCAAGGCAGCTGGGACCATAGTCCACCAAGAAAACAGTTGGTAACACACTACGCCGTGAAGGACTGAAATCCTGCAGCGCACACAAGGTTCCCTGCTAAAGAAAGCACATATACATGCCCGTCTGAAGTTTGCCCATGAACATCTGAATGATTCGGAGGACAACTGGGTGAAAGTGTTATGGTCAGATGAGACCAAAATGGAGCTCTTTGGCATCAACTCAACTCGCCGTGTTTGGAGGAGGAGGAATGCTGCCTATGATCCCAAGAACACCATCCCCACCGTCAAACATGGAGGTGCTAACATTATGCTTTGGGGTGTTTTTCTGCTAAGGGGACAGGACAACTTCACCGCATCAAAGGGACGATGGACGGGGCCATGTACGTTAAATCTTGGGTGAGAACCTCCTTCCCTCAGCCAGGGCATTGCAAATGGGTCGTGGATGGGTATTCCAGCATGACAATGACCCAATACACACGGCCAAGGCAACAAAGGAGTGGCTCAAGAAGAAGCACATTAAGGTCCTGGAATGGCCTAGCCAGTCTCCAGACCTTAATCCCATAGAAAATCTGTGGAGGGAGCTGAAGGTTCGAGTTGCCAAACGTCAGCCTTGAAACCTTAATGACATGGAGAAGATCTGCAAAGAGGAGTGGGACAAAATCCCTCCTGAATATGTGTGCAAACCTGGTGGCCAACTACAAGAAACGTCTGACCTCTGTGATTGCAACAAGGGTTTTTGCCACCAAGTACTAAGTCATGTTTTGCAGAGGGGAAAAATACTTATTTCCGTCAATAAAATGCAAATCATGTATAACATTTTTGACATGCGATTTTTCTGGATTTTTTTGTTATTATTCTGTCTCTCACTGTTCAAATACACCTACCATTAAAATATAGACTGATCATTTCTTTGTCAGTGGGCAAACGTACAAAATCAGCAGGGGGATCAAATACTTTTTTCCCTCACTGTATTAAAATAAATTGTTTAGTTTAAATGTTAAAAGCAATTCCCCTCTCCGTTGGATATCATTATTATGGCCCAGGTACAACTCAAACTTACATAATAC